TTCCTGCGTATTTAGGTCCATTACTCAACTGCAGACAAAAACAAAGCAAAAACAGGTAGAATCCTAGGAGCCATACTTTCTTGGCAGCCCTGGAATCAACAGAACATCTAGCTGTGGGACAGCTTCCCAAGGGAGGAAGAATTTCCATTTAAGTATTTTGTTCCAGTCATCAGTCTCCCCTTATTTCCTCTTCCAAATCTTTACTCTTCACACACCTTCTCTCCTTTGCCTGAGAAAGAAGTATAGGTAAACAAGATACGCCCCAATGCTACTTCCAATCTGAGTCTGGGCAGAACCTGCACTCAGCATGCTACCACTATAGGAGTGGTATGTCAAAATTCAGTGATAAAAAAAAAAAAAAGAAAGATATAATTGCTAACCTCAAGTCAATCTGAATAGAACTCCCAATTCACAGTTACAAAGTGAACAGAGAGGAGGATGTAATTCTAAAATATCTTAAATAAATATTACTCTGAGCATTAACACTGAAGTAATGACTTCACAACTTCTCTTTTCAAGCGTAATTATTAGAAAGGGCCCCTCCTCTTACTGGCTCCAGTGATGATTTTTTTGCTTACCTCTAGGTAAGTGGCTCTTGAATTATACTTCTGATTTCTGTCATATCAAACACTTTTTTAAGTATGCATTCTGTCTCTAAATAGAGTAGTATCTAAATATTTACTTCTGAAATTGACCTTGAAGACTGATGCCCTGCAAAGTTTTATCAAATTTTCTAGATATTAGACCCTAGCATTCTAGATCGCAGGTTCTGCTGGTATTTGCTATAGACAAATAAAATATGACTTCCACACTAAGCCTACATACTCCTTAAAATCTTCAGGATATTTGCTTAAATCTTAGAATCATAGAATCATAAAATAGCCTGTGTTGAAAAGGACCACAATGATCACCCAGTTTCAACCCCCCTGTCATCTGTAGGGTCACCAACACTAGACCAGGCTGCCCAGAGCCACATCCAGCTTGGCCTTGAATGCCTCCAGTGATGGGGCATCCACACCTACCTGGTCAATCTATTCCAATGCGTCACCACCCGCTGTGTGAAAAACTTCCCCCTAATATCTAACCTAAACTTCCCCTGTCTCAGTTTAAGACCATTCTTCCTTCTCCTGTCACTATCCACTCTCGTAAACAGCCATTTCTCCTCCTGCTCCTCCCTTCAAGTATTGGAAGGCCACAGTGAGGTCTCCCCGGAGCCTTCTCTTCTCCAAGCTAAATGAGCCCAGTTCCCTCAACCTTTCCTCATAGGAGAGGTGCTCCAGCCCTCTGGTCATCTTAGTGGTCCTCCTCTGGACCCGCTCCAAGAGCTCCATATCCTTCCTTTACTGGGGGGCCCAGGCCTGGATGCAGTACTGCAGATGGTGCCTCACAAAGACTGAGCAGAGGGGGACAATCACCTCCCTCTCCCTGCTGACCACCCCTTTTTTAATGCAGCCCAGAACACAGCTGGCCTTCTGGGCTTCAAGTGCACACTGCTGGTTCATGTCCAGCTTCTCATACACCAGGACCCTCAAGTCCTTCTCTACAGGGCTGCTCTCAAGGAGATCTTCCCTCAGTTTCTATAAATACCTGGGATTGCCCTAACCCAAGTGCAGGCACCCTGCACTTGGCCTTGTTAAACCTCATTAGGTTTTCATGGGTCTACTTCTCCAGCCTGTGCAGGTTCCTCTGGATGGCTTCCGTTCCTTCCAATGTATTGGATGCACCACTCAGCTTGGTGTCATCTGCAAACTTGCTGAGGGTGCACTCAATGCCATCATTTGTGTCGTTGATGAAGATGTTGAATAGCAGCAGTCCCAAGACGGACCCTGAGGGACACTGCTTGTGACCAGCCTCCTCCCTGATACAGAATGGTTGATCACAACCCTTTGGCTGCGTCCAGCCAGCCAATTCCTTATCCATTGAACAGTCCATCTTTCAAACCCATACCTCTCCATTTTATAGAGAAGGATGTGGTGAGGGACCGGTGCTCTTTAACATCTTTATTAATGACATCGATGAGGGAATTGAGTGCACCCTCAGCAAGTTTGCTGACGACACTAAGCTGAGTGGTGCAGTTGATATGGTGGAAGGAAGGGATGCCATTCAGAGGGACCTCGACAGGCTGGAGGGCTGGGCTCGGGTGAACCTAATGAGGTTCAACACAGCAAAGTGCAAGGTTTTGCATTTGGGCAGGAAGAACCCCAGGCACCCGCACAGGCTGGGAGGAGTGGTCCTTGAGAGCAGCTTGGCAGAGAAGGACCTGGGGGTCCTGATGGACGAGAGACTTAACATGAGCCAGCAGTGCGCTCTGGCAGCTCGAAAGGCAAATGGGATCCTGGGCTCCATCAGGAGAGGGGTGGTCAGCAGGGACAGGGAGGTGATTGTCCCTCTCTACTCGGCTCTTGTGAGGCCCCATCTGGAGTACTGTGTCCAGGTGTGGAGCCCTCAGTACAAGAAAGACATTGAGATTTTGGAAAGGGTCCAGAGGAGGGCGACTAAGATGATCAGGGGGCTGGAGCACCTCCCCTATGAGGACAGGCTGAGGGAGTTGGGCTTGTTCAGCCTGGAGAAGAGAAGGCTGCGGGGTGACCTCATTGCAGCCTATCAATACCTGAAGGGAACCTACACCCACGAGGGGAGTAAACTCTTCAAAAGGGCTGACAACAGCAGGACTAGGGGAAATGGATCCAAGTTGAAGGAGGGAAGATTTAGGTTGGATGTTAGGGGGAAGTTCTTTACAAGGAGAGTGGTTAGGCCCTGGAACGGGCTGCCCAGGGAGGTTGTGGATGCCCCGTCCTTGGACGTGTTCAAGGCCAGGTTGGATGGGGTCCTGGGCAACCTGATCTGAATGTGTATGTCTGGTGGCCCTGCTAGGCAGGGGGGTTGGAACTACATGATCCTTGAGGTCCCTTCCAACCCGGGTGATTCTGTGATTCTGTGATTCTGTGAGGGACCATATCAAAGGCTTTGCAGAGGTCCATGAAGATTACATCCGTCATTCTTCCTCCATCTATTGATGCTGTCACTCCATCATAAAAAGCCACCAGATTGGTCAGGCACGATCTGCCCTTGGTGAAGCCATGCTCACCAAGATCACGTGGAAAAAGAAGGTAAAAGAACTCAGAACCTTCCTTGGCATGACAGGTTGGTGGAGACTATGGATCTGTATTTATGGCCAAGATCTCAAAGAGTTTAATCTTGATTAGGACAAATTCTACTCTCAGTTATAGCAGATAGACTATAGACTACCTCCAAGGGAAAGTTAAAGCCCAGAAACATTTCAAGATGAAGTTCTGGGTAATCTCCACAAACACAAAATGAGGTTCAAAAAGCAGTCATGACAATCTAAGAGTTTAATGTCATTAAAGGGCGAGGATTCCACTCCTCTCTCCTTGCTTACTTCTCCAAACCCCTGAACTTCCCTTTCCTGTTCTTGTACTGATTTTGACATTCACTTTCTTTCCAACTCACTAATTTGACAAAATATATATATATATATCATTTTTGTTGTTGCTGCACTGGATTTTCTGCTAGAATAGTGAGCTCAAGGGCTCCTCGAAGAGAAGACATCATTTGCATATCTACCTGCAAATGGATAAAACCAGTTCAAGTCATATAACAAGTGGGCACAAAGGGAAGGAAGAAAACTGGAAAGGAAGGAGGCAGGCCAGGCCCTTCTCTTTCTATCAGCAACAGGCTTTTAAGAACCATTCAACACAGGCCAGATGTGCTTTCACCTTCATTATTTCCATACAAGTGTCACCTTGATGCAAAATGCTCCCACTAAAGCAAACAGATCTGCCTGAATCTGTAATACAACTGGACTACATACTTTGTCCATCTAGTTGCAGATAGTTTCTCAGCATATTATAACACCATTCCCCATCTAAATAAACAAGCAAAGCAGCTCCCAACATCTGAAGTTAATGTGAAAGATTCAGTTCTCTATTTTCGGACTCAATGTCTTCCCCACTTTTCTCTTCCCTCTCTCCATGTTTTAGTTTGGAAATAAAATCTGTGTAATGGTTCTTCATACTAAACACAAACAATTCTACTTGCTTGGCATTCACCACGCCTGTTTTACTGAATAGGAAGGAAAAAATGTCATTAATTTGGCCATTATCATTAAACTGTATGGTAAGAGACAAGCACAATTTCAGTCTAGGCTAAAAATGTCAAAGCACTATTCTGTGAGGCTGACTTAAATTTTATCACAGCATATATAACTGAGGTACTTGCATAAACCATAATCCTGACTTAATGGTTATTTAAATGCATTAGAAAATTAGTTCAAAACAAACCTGGAGCACTGATAAGAAGGACTTTTCTTTCTGCTAGTCTTGTTGTGCCATTCGACTTGACAAAGGCATGAAACATCCTTCAACAATACAACAAGAGACTGAGGGGAAAAGAGAGATGTCCATTCCAAGAAATGTAGTCACACAACTCCTTGATTCAAGGAAGCAACTTTTTGTCAGTCTTCATTAGTAAGTTGTAAAGTGCTGCATTAACAGGATGAAGGTAATTTATCATTAGTCTTTCAAAAATATCTTAACTGTGAAATCCACTGCACTGGAAAGATTTGGTTTGGAAATAAAAGAAGGATGTGTTTTGGTGAAAGGTGATGCATTCCGCCCAAGTCCAAGGTATAATCCACACAGTGGTTATTTAAGTAGCAAGGCATGCCATGTCAGACTCTGTTGATCCCATCCATTTCCAGTCTATGGTAATTAAAAAACAATGAGCTTGGTACATAAATTGTACAGATACGTGAAGGTGACTGATGTATGTGCCAAAATAACCCAGAGTGTGGAATAAACATAGTATATATTCTACTTTCATGCGTTACTACTGTCATACCTATTCACTACCTAATGGTTTTGATCTGTTGTGCACTTGGATCAAATCTAGTAAGAGCAGGCAGTTTTTCGGGGGTTTTTTATTATTATTATTTTATTTTTTATTTTAGTCTCAAAAAACAAAACTATAAAACTATAACATATGTGCTTCTTTTGGGGAGGACAGAAAGCACGAGACAGAATATTTAGAAATTCTAAAACTGTAAGGTGATTAATAAAGTTATTTATAAAGAAGTGTATCTACAATGTTTAATAATTTAAGGCTCACAAGGAACAAATATCTCATCAGTAATAAAAAATTTCTGTGCTTAAAGCACTTTTCATACTAGACAAGCAGATCTGTAGTGATCACAAGTGAAAAACTCTACAAGTGCTGATCTGCCAATGTTCCTAGTGCTTTAATGGAGTGATACGTCTCAGGAATAAGAAATCCCTTTTCACGCAAAAATGATGTTATATAGATACAAAATAAATTGGAATATTTTCAGTTTGAAACTACAGTACAAAACCCTCTCATTGTTCCCTCCCACTCCAAAATTCATTCATTCTCTGCACACGTCCCCCAGCTCTTAAACAATTTGCAGAAAATGTATTGATTACAAATGACCATTTCAAGCAAACTGTAATTTGCTAATAAAAGTTTCTACAAATCAGATTTTGCATTTTCATAATTTACCAGCTCCTGCATAATAAAGAATAGTTTACATAATCTATTTTAAAAACAGGTGACCATTTGTGTCATGGAAAAAGAATATAAAAACATTTATTTCTGGAGGACTGCTCAGGACAATGATCAAATTATAAAATACAGCCTGATTTAAAGCAAAAAATGAAAAACCAAGCAACAAAACAACTGGTAGGAAAATAGATATAGTAGCAAGTTTCTGACACCAACAAATTCTGCTGCATCTTTTGACTACAATTCTCTCCTTTCCTTACAGGTCTGTTTCCCTGCTGCTGTCCAAACAGAGGGCATAGAGTGATTTTCTGAGATCTACATTACTTTTAGCTTTGATACTGTTTTTCTCTAGAGGGCTGGTGCTGCTTTTGAACCCTTCATTATTTTCCAAGTGCACAACAGATTTGTTCAGAGAGTTTTTACTGGTTCTTCTCTTTCCATCTACCCCAGTTGCGCTGCCCTGGGCACTGCTGTGTTCTTCTTTGAGCATAGATTGATCCTCATGGTCAGTCTCTCGGTGGTAGAAGTAGTTGAAGTTGGACACAATAACAGGGACAGGCAGGGCAATGGTGAGCACACCAGCGATGGCACATAAGGAGCCCACGATCTTGCCCCCCACAGTAACAGGTCGCATGTCCCCATAGCCCACAGTGGTCATGGTCACCACAGCCCACCAGAAAGCATCAGGGATGCTGGAGAAATGAGACTCAGGATCATCAGCCTCAGCAAAGTAGACAGCACTGGAGAAAAGGATCACTCCAATGAAGAGAAAGAAGATGAGGAGGCCCAGCTCTCTCATGCTGGCTTTCAAAGTCTGTCCCAAAATCTGCAACCCCTTGGAGTGCCTGGAAAGCTTGAAGATCCTGAAGACTCTGACCAAGCGGATGACTCTGAGGATGGCCAAGGACATGGCTTGTTGCTGGCCCCCACTCCCATTGCTGCTGCTACCCCCAGGCTGCTGTTGCTCATTGGCCAATTCTGTGCCCAGGGTGATGAAGTAGGGGATAATGGCCACGATGTCAATGATGTTCATGATGTTGCGGGAGAACTCAGGCTTGCTGGGGCAGGTGAAGAAACGCACAAGGAGCTCAAAGGTGAACCAGATGACACAAGTGGTCTCGATGATGAAGAAGGGGTCAGAGAGGTTACTTGGTGACTGCATGGATGGAGTGTCTCCAGCTGTGGAGTTCAAACCCCCAGTTTGTGAGGGCAAAGACATGGGTATCTCTCGTTCATCCCTGAACTCAGGCAAAGTTTCCAGGCAGAAGGTGATGATGGAGATAAGGATCACCAACACAGAGACAATGGCAGTGGCCCGGGCTGAGCTGGAACTTTCAGGGTACTCAAAGATGAGCCAGACCTGGCGCTGAAACTCACTGTGGGGAAGGGGCTTCTCCTCCTCTCTGATGAAACCCTCATCCTCCCAGAAACGCTCCATGGCCTCCTTGCCCAGCTGGTAGAAGCGGATCTCATCAGCAAAGACATCAATGGAGACATTGACAGGCCGCCGAAGCTTGCCCCCAGACTGGTAGAAATAGAGGATGCCATCAAAGCTGGGCCGGTTGCGGTCAAAGAAGTATTCATTACGGAGTGGGTCAAAATACCGCATACGCTTATCAGGATCTCCCAACAGTGTGTCAGGAAACTGGTTGAGGGTGCCCAGCTGAGTCTCGAAGTGCAGCCCAGAGATGTTGATTAGAACCCGCTGATGGTGCATGGCGCCCCGGCTCACTGCTTTCATCTCCTCCTCCTCACCGGCCGCTGCCATGGTCATGCCCCGGTGGTGACCCCCCTCCTCCGCGAGATCCATTTCAGCAGCCGGCCGGAGGCGCAGAGCTTGTGGCTGCGATAGTGGTCCAGACGCCGCCCGGACGTTGATGCTGCCCTCACTGCTGCTGCAGAGCCTCCTGCCGCTTCCTCGGAGGACCGGCGGGGACTTCTCCCGCTCCTCGTCCACCTGCGGCGGCGATGAGGCCGGTGGCGTACCCACCTTGCCGTCGCTCAGTCTTGCGACAGACGTGGACCCCGCGAGGCGGAGTAGCTCACGCTGTCGCCGAGCCCCGGTGCTACCGCCGACGCTGCTGGCCGTGGCATCCTCGCCGGCCGAGATGGCCCCGCCACCGCCGTTCTCCAGAGTCACCAGCGCGATCTCCATGGGCAGCAGCGGCAGTAGGCGGGCTCCACTGAGGTGGCGGGCATTCTGTGCATGCCGACTCGCCGCTGTCAGCCGCCTCCGGACGTATGGGCGGCCGCCCTATCCTGCCCTGCCCGCTCCCCCTCAGTGCTCTGCGGCCGAGCGTGTCCGAGCGCGGCCCGGGGAAGCCGGCCGGGGACCCGGATATGAACGAGCGATCATTCTGATGGTTGACGTCAGCAAGAATCCCTTCTCCCCAGCGGTGGCGGCGCCAGCCTCCCCCGGTATCGGGCTGCCGCAGCACCGCCCCGCCCCGCAGGTAGTACTGACCGCACCCGTGACCCAACCCAGCCACTATGTGCCCTCAGCGGAAAGAATCGTGGTGTGACCCCGCGCGGATATGTATTCCTTGCGTCGCGAAGGTCTCCGGCTGGAATTCCCGGGGCACCTCTCAAATGAAATCTAGAGCTCCTCTTGATGCGTACCCCATTTCCCGGCCCCCAACGCTTAATGAGAACAAAGAAAGGAATGGGATCTGTTTTGCTTTGCTACCTTCCTTTCCCTACCCTTAACATGCAGCTCCAAAAGGTGCTTCTGAGGCCAGCAGTTAGCAACCGTTCCACCGGGCTGCCGGGTTATTATTTGCAATTTGGAGCCACAGTTTCCCTTTGATGAATTCTTAAACCAACATCTAAGGCTGGTACACTTCAAAATACATGCATTTTATTAAAGAAAAAGAATTGAAGAAGCTTTATATGATGACTTCAGTTACACTTCAGTAATATAATCAATGCTGAGGTCTTACTTTCTGGATTCAAACAGTGAACTTCAAGGTCTAGAGAACAATATTCTAAATCTATATACAAACAACATAGGATTAAAATCTATACGTATATATATATACGCACAGCATCAGATGTAAAAGATAGTAAATGAAGAAAACATTTTTCCTTCTACGTGGCATCACTGCAGTGACATTTGAATCCTTGCAGCAGTAATGATAGATTCATCACACCTAGATTTGCTGGGATTAATGAGTTTTCACTTAATGTAAACTATTGCCTCTGCGTGTGAAATATGCCTAAAGATATTATAAGCCATGCCAAAACAGAAAACCATAATTGTATTGAATGATTATTATAAATTTTGATTTGTCTATGATCTATAATTTGCCTCTGAGAGCTAAGCACAGAATCACTGACCTGTTCTGCCTTTGTACAGCATGTTTTCTAGTACCTCACTGAAATCCTGATGAAGAAAATGCACATTACTAACTGATTCAGTTGGAAAACATGGCTGTGTTTTCTGGGTACCTTCTTAGCATCTCTAACAGTTCTGAGATCTTAGGATGTTGTCTGTGTATGTGGGTACAAGGGAAGAGGGGAGGAAAGGGTGAAAGAGAGGGGAAGAAATATCTATTTCAGAAAGAAAATTTTAAGGGCCAATTTTTATTTAGCATTCCTCATTTTCTGAACATTGTGAAATGAGAAGAGCAGACCATCTAGTAGAAAGCAAAGATATTGGAGAGAAAAGATGGCATGCAGACATAACTGAGATGTGTTATTCATGTTTTAACCTTTCTGTTAAAGAATATATTTCTTCTTATACCTATGAGTTAGCAAAAAAACATTTTTACCCTGAGTACATGCACATGTGCAATCAGTTCTATACATTCCAGCATATTCACACCCAAAACTACCATTCTCTCTAGCTCCCCCTGCCATTTATTTCTTACAATCTAGTCATCATGCCTGTTGTCATATTCTGTGACTAAAGTATTGCTTTTTTTTCTCTGTCTGATCTGTAATTCTTCTAAGATTCCTTGCTTTACCAGCCAGCATCTAGGAGAGATGCACACAAGCTTTTCAGAAGAATAAAAGCCATTCAAAAGAATATAGAGAACATTCCCTATCTCCTCTCTGAAGATGAATCTGCATTCCCAAAAGTACCTTAACAACTTCTGCATGGGGAGAAAAGATGTTGTTCTGTACAGCATCCTGCCAGGGACCTGAATTACAACTTACGTGTGTACAGACCTGTTCAATAATATGCACCACACCTGAGACTTCTGTAATTGCTTCCCTCTGTAGTTAGAAATGCATTTTATGTATATTCAAGTATTCTCTGGCCTTTCTTTAAGGTCCTGGGACAGATGCAACTGGCTGATCCAAGGATCACCTAATACATGTCATTACACAGCAGGAGAATCTGCTGGGAGCTGTCATTCAGTAGGACATTCCTACAGAGTAAGTTGGTGCCTTCTTACAAAACAATGACCTATCCCACTTGGGGGTTTCATGTGTAAAGAGATAAGACATAGAGACAGTCTGCAGATGTTACATTCATCTACCCAATATATAAATAAAAATATGATGCTGAGATGTGGAGAGACATCTGCCAGCCTCTAGATGCTTGGTCAGCCCACAGCCCCTCCTTTTGGTAGTTGGACCAGACATGTCAGCTTCAATACATTTTGTGGGGAGAGATGCCGTGAAGGTTCCTTTTCGATCTCCTTGAATTGTCTGAGTAACAGTCCCATTGTGGCAGATGGTGAGAACAGAAGAAATTGAAGGAGTTAAGGCAAATCTGTGCCTCCTCCACTTGGTTAATTCCCCAGCAGCCTGATCCTCTGTTGTGATAATTCAGGCCAGAGATAGCGAGATAGGCTGCCACAGTCCCCAGGGAGACTCCATAAAAAAAAAAAAGACTTTTATTTCCTGTTCAGGAGGATTAAGTGCAAGGCCATTGACAAATCACAGTAAACATCTGGATGAGAGCACTCCATCTATCAGGGCCTAATCCATGAAGTTATTCATTACTGTAGTCAGCAATTTTACATTGTTCTATATATAGTATCAGCTGATCTTTTTTAACGTTCGTCTCGGAGATGTTTTATCAACCGATTTTATTTATTGTGCAGAGCAATCTACTGCATCCTATCTTTGCCTAATTAATTATTTGGAGTAATTATGCCTTTAAAAACAAACAAACATACAAACAAACAAACCATTCAGTGCCATATTTTTCAGAAGTACCCAAAAAAATCCTGTTGTTAAAACCCAACTATGTTCCTTTATTTTATGCTGTTTTGCAGTTTTAAGCCTAAGTTTCTCTGGAAACTTTACATCACACAATCAAGAAAAAAAAAAAAAAAAAAAAATTGGAATTATTTTTTATTTTCTGTATTTTATTATAATTCAAATTAGAATCACTCTCATTAATCTTCCAGGAGAAAGTAAGCACTGAGTAAATGATCTGGTTAATTCAAAACTGATTTGGTCAGAACATCTGTACATTCACTTGCACAGTAGGAAAGATGCTGAACACTATCAGATATCAAGCTTATTCATTATACTGTGTATCTTACGAATGCAAGCTACTTTGAAAAATAAAAAGACCCACATTTTATAAGGGGAACACTTGCACACAACTGTGTCCTTGGAAGTCATCTGTCTACCTTGCCTAATACTCATTGCTGCTCACACCAAAACCTTGCCCATGTACCGCATACATTGTTTTTCACACAGCTGTGCCACCTTGTTTCCAGTTAAATCTGCAGGCTTTGACATTGATATTGGTGGGATCAGCATTTAGCCCAGAGGTTTTTATAAGTCCAGTTGCAAAAGGATATTTTCAACCTCAAAATATTAGACTCTACCAGACAGTATGAATCATCCGAACTTGCAATTTATGATTTCCAGTCCTTTTGACTTGCGGAGTATTACTGTGATGTAATATTTAACTGCAAGGACTTGAAAAGGAAGCAGCAAGATTAGAGATCCTACATAAGACATAAGAATGATTATGCCAACATAGAGAAAATCACAACATGGTACATACTCATAGTATCCTCAAACTGGACTACAGTCTGCTTGCCTCTCACAGCACTTCTGAAAAACTTGCCTTCCCAGTTCAGCAGCTTTTTCCACAATATAGAGGGGTACCACATGTCCACCAAAGGTTGAGCCTTGACAGTTACTGCAAGGAGCAGGTTTGGAATCCAGCCTTTCCCGTAGCTGGCCTTGCATCTGTTCTCTGCCATGAACTGGTAACCTAGATCTTGAAATATAAAAACCAAAGGTGGGAGACTCCTTTTCTTCCTGAGTGGTCATCCGACTATCCTACCTGCAGTGGTTTTGATTTCTATTTTAGCTTAGGGAGAAGTACAGATGTTACTTGTATTCATTTAAACATGAATCCTTTTACTTTATATTTTACAAAGTCACTTGTCTCAATAACCTGTAACAATGAGTTCTACCTACTGAAAGTCAGTTAAATAAAAGCTGATTTCCTGTGTCATCTTTTGCACTACAAATATATTTCATTTTCATGCAGTGCTTTCTTGTTCTGCTTTTGCCATTCAGAATAAATAAGAATTCTGGACCAGTCCTCTCTGCACCATTTTACAACTACTCTAGCTCTTTTTTTTTTTTTTTTTTAAACTGCATACATGCTGTTTCTATAACCACTCTTTATATGGAGTTACCTCTTCCACATACTTAACTACAATCATTGTCCTTGTCTAAAACATTGCTTTTATTCTGTATCTTTGAAAAAATATGGTATTGGCAGGTTTTGTTACCTCTTTAGAGAGAAGGAAATGAAAAAGGAATTCCGTATAGAGCAAGTAAAACTCACATATTTTTCTTTAACTCTTCTTTGTTTGCCTGCAATTAGATAACTTCTTGAAGGAACTCAATGAAGGGTGTTGAATTTCCACCCTTACTAAGAATCCAAAGATTTCCCAAGTAACTGCCTCACACCTCTGAATATCAAGCTATGTTTTCAGGGCTCCAGAGGATAAAAAGGCTGCCACACAAAACAGAAGAGGAGGAAGTCTAATTTTCAAGTTTTCTCTTTCCATTTCATTACAAAAATGGGGCTTATCAGTTTGATGCAAATGTAGTCATTGAAGGCCTATAGGCAGTTTTCTGAAAGTATCTCTCAGAGCAAGACAAAAGCCAGTTCATCTCTCACACTGGTGTATTAGATGCCTAAGGACATAGTGATTTCATAAATAG